CCCCCCAAAAAAAAATGACGAAAAAAGTAAAAGATTGTTTTAGGCCAAATAATTTCATTAATGTTGAAAGGATGCAGCAAACAAAAATTAATGGATGAAATTGGTACAGAATAATAGAAGAAATGTTGTATTCTGAAAAGAAAAGTATTTTTTTTTTAAATTTTCGTCAAACTTTTTTTTTTGTTCTTTTTCTTTTCTATTGCAATTAAATTTATGACAAACGGAAATTTCCTAAATTATATGATAGAAATCCTAATTTTCTATTGCGAGAAAAATTCGAACTCAAAAAGTATTTAAAAAGATGAATGAAAAATTTTGAATAATTATAAATTACAGCAAATTGCTCTGGGAAACATTTACAGTTGATTTTTTATGATTTAAACAGTTATCGATCATTAATTTTTGTTTTTGCATTTATATGTCATAATTTTTACATTGTAGTCTTTTTTTCCTTCTTTCACTTATGAATTAAAATTTAACAAAAGTATTCATTCCCTTTGTAATTTAAGTTAAACATTCAATTTAAACAATGGCATCTTTATTATACAATTTATTAGACCTATATTGTCTAAAAATTGAAAATATTAATTTTAAAATCTTCAAAATTTTCTTCATTTATCAATAGTGAAAGCACGATAACAGTATCTCCTTCCAACGTCATCCAAATAAAATTTTTGATTTGATATTTAATTTTAACAATTTCACTATATAATTTCTCAATCTTGTGTTTTTAATACCCAAAAAGTTAAAAACATTCATTTCAAAATTTCAAAAAAAAAAAAAAACTTTCTCAATATGATAATATGATGGTACTATTTTCTTCCTTATTATCCATAAATATATAAAACTTTTTTTATGTTATTTTTTTTAAATTTTTTCTCTTTTTTTCTCGAAATAAACAAAAAGAAAAAAAGAATTTTTATTATTGTATAATCAAAATGAAAAAACATAATACCTTCTCGATTTTCATTGCTTGCATCTTTTTCTTGATCGCATCCATTTTTGCTTCCGATTATGGCTATTTATTTGTTGAATAATAAATAAACTTGTCGACTAAAAAATAACAGAAAGTTTAGCAAAAAAGAAAAAAAATGAGACAGAACGAAAAATACAAATATTCTCGAAAATTTTAAAACAAAGTGAAAAAGAATCAGTAATGTAAGCTTAAATAACAACGATGGTGGATGGATACGATGATGTGCAATGATAATAATATGTATGTGTGTGTATGTGTGTATGTATATGTGTCTGTGTGTGTGTGTGTGTGTGTGTGTGTGT